TCTCTTTGTGATCAACCGCCTAAAAACTGCTTGATCGTTCTACAACTGCCCACTTTCCTCGTAATGGCCAACTTGTCATGAAACTGCTTTTTTTAACTGCTGTCATTACTCTTCGTCGTTCAACCGTTTTCGATTGAATTCCTTAAATCGTGGAACGTGATAGGGATGCTTTAATAACTGCTTTGATAACTGCACTTCTTGATAACCACAACACTTTATGTTTGCTAAGACCTTGGGCGATTTGAAAGTTTGGGCGAGAATAGAGTAACAGCTCTGGGCGACTGCATGGCACTCCATTCGCTCAGATTCTGGGCGACTTGCAAACTTGGGCGATGGCGTTACCGCGTTCTTGGGCCTCCCTATTTGGGCCTTCATCTTGAATTGTTTGATTGGGCTTCGTTCTTTGGGCTATCTGATTTGGGGATCTTCCAATTGGGTTTCATTCCTTGGGCCATTCTATTTGGGCTGAATTTTTATGTGTCAACAACACTGCTGCGATTACCCATTATGGACATGTTGTTGCTACACGTATGTAGAGGACGTGACCAAAATCATCCATACTAAAAAATACTATATATAATTTCTTACAAAATGGGCATTTATTGCACACTTGCATTGCTATCGACGTTTTTAATCTTCTCCTCCACTTTCTCCATCATAAAATGCACCAATTTCTTTTAAACAGTCCTGAAGTAATTGAGAATGCTACCCTCCATTAGACGTGCTGGTGATGTAACTGGCCAAAAAAATTCAAATTAAAACCAAAATCAACCTAATTCATTTTTTCTTTTGCCAATTCACAAAATCAAAACAATAAAAATTCAAAAGAAATCAACTTTCTACTGGAGATTGTCAAGAATTGAACTTGTTTACCAAAAAAATCGATTACTTCGGCTGCGACCCAAGCCAAATTCTTATATGTCACCCACACAGTTAATTGCGTACTTAAATGATAGATTACGCTTGTATTTTTTGTGGTCTTTGTCGACGGTGGACATTTTCACGCTGGTCGTCGACAACAACTTTAGTGGGGTGGGCAAATCGAATGAGTGAGGAGAGTGGATTTAGGGTTTCCTTTTTTTTTTTTTTTTTTGGCAATAGACGTTTTGAATGGAAGAAATGGTTGGTTTTTCTTGCTTTTGTCTTATGTTTCAGCCCTTTTTAAAAAAAAAAATTCCCAAATGCACTTAATTTCTTCCCTGCCATTTGCACACTTTTTGTACCATTCCATTATCTAGTCAAATTCATTTAATGAAGGACATGTTAGGTATTAAAATCATCTAGAGGTGCCAAAAATGTCCAAAATTGACAATTTTGCAAGAATTTTAAAAAAGTGACATTTTTGTAATCGCAAACCTAAAATTTGACATCTAGTGTAATTTTCAATAATTTTTAATTAAATATGAATAATATTTTTTATTTAGAGTTTAGATAATCATTGATTTATGAATAAAGCCACTAAACAAGATTGTAAAACAGGGATTGAAGTGACAGACTGATGCGTCAGAAACTGATTGGGTATTGTTGTTTTAATTTTTCAAACTGTCCAATTATACATCAATACGTACCTCATCTGAATTTAAGTTTGAATGTGTAACATGAATGTTGATTTATATAGTCATAACTGCTAAACATTGCCATATTGTCTAATGTAAATAATTCATGAAAAAAGAATTCAAAAAATATATTAAATGATTTTATTGTCATATAAATTGATGATCATCTAAACATTAATATAGAAAACCATCGATAGGATTTGTGCCGTCGTTGAAGTCAGACGGACACGATCGCCTGGTTCTCATCTGGGCCCACTCCATCCACTTTTTTCATGGTTTGATCAATTCCACCCCTTTTGAATGTATCCATATACTGTGGGCTAACTACAATCCACAGCAAATATAATCAAGGAATCCTCTCAACTTCAAATGCATTGGTAATGGTTGACGTAATATATAATCTTTCAATGTGAGCTGTGAAAGAAGTACCAATACCTAAACATCTATTTGGATTTTTATTTTTTTTCTTAAAATTTATTTTTTAAAGTAAAATTTTAATTCTAATAACACATTTAGTAGGTCCAAAAGTATTATTGCCCACTTATTCACTACTAATTTCTTGAGATGTAACTTCTTATTAAGAAAATAATAATAATAATAAAATTCGAACACGGACTAAATATTGGACACGACCTTAAATAATAGTTTCTTGTCCTAAACATCTATTTGGATTTTTATTTTTTTTCTTAAAATTTATTTTTTAAAGTAAAATTTTAATTCTAATAACACATTTAGTAGGTCCAAAAGTATTATTGCCCACTTATTCACTACTAATTTCTTGAGATGTAACTTCTTATTAAGAAAATAATAATAATAATAAAATTCGAACACGGACTAAATATTGGACACGACCTTAAATAATAGTTTCTTGTCGAGACGAAAACAACTCGGATAATGTTTGCTTTGAAGTCGCTGCACTTTAAAAGATTGTGTTAGCATGCTTAGAAGTAGTTACGCTAAAAACATTGTAGGTTATTGATGTAGCGATCTTGTATCTAAAATGAAAAAGGTTAAATTTATTCAAGGTTCAAATAATAAATTTGCGTACTCTTGATTCTATTTTCGGATATCGAAACGAGATAAGCTAATAAAGTCATTCCTCACGTCCTAATCCTAAAGGAAGGAATACTATATGATAGACACACTTCTTTCTTGCCATCCTCTCAATTGGTTATTTAGTAAAATAGATTGTCAAGAAAAAGACGTCGAACACGCAACCGTCTAACTGTCATTTAAGTTTAAACTGGTCAATCGGGAAAAAATGGAGTGTAACAACTTTTCGTTCTAGAGTAAACATTAACATACTTAATGGGTCGAGCGAAGAGCTAAACGAATTCAAGCCTTCCCTTCCCTTTCCATCGAGTTGACAACAAACTAAAAGCAACCCTTTTGCACGGTCTTAATTATATTTTCTCAAGTAATATATATTTTAATCTAATTGTACCACCTTGTTTAGATTGTTCAAATTTGGATTTTGGTCCAAGGGTCTATTCAACTTAGATTGTACAAAACTTCTTAACAAATAACTAAATTCAGATTTTCTCTAATTAATCCAATTGATTCTAGTCAAATCAAGAATTTAGTTAGTTACATAATATCTAGAAAGTGCCTATTAACTCAAGTCATCAACATTATTAAATAATTTAAATAAATATGGGAATTGTCGGGCCAATGACCAATCCCCGCGTTGGATTTAGGTGGATCAATATCAACGGATTGACAAGAACTTTTCCAAGACGTGTTTGTCTAATTAAAATACAAGATTTTACACATATTTCATTGCGTCATTTGGCATTTCACCTTTGAAGAAAAGATAAAGTATAACTTGAACATCACGAAAGGGAAGAATAAATACAAATCAAGAACAACAAAATTGGGGAAAAAAAGGAGAAGATGAAGCTTGTTTGGTTTCCAGAGACAGCCTCCAAGGCTTATTTCGACACCGTAAAATCAGTAAGTTCAACCACTAAACTCGTTTCGATACCCCTAAAATGTTCTGGGATTAGCCATGGATTTTCCTGTCGTTGATGCCCAACAGAAGATCCATGGAAAAATAGGTACTTGATATTTCCGTTAGCTGGTAATTCCTGATGCCTAAAACTCGTCGAAGGTCTGAATGGGTCAGTAAAATTGTAGTAAAGTCATCTTGGGTCGATTTATCTGTCGTTATTGACGTTTTTTTTTTTTTTACCCTTTTTTTTTCAGTTGGATCATTTTCCAATTTCCTGTGCTGATTTATTGTGTTTCTGTGTGTAGTGTCAACTTCAAAAAGAATCTGGTGTAGCAGAACTTATATCCGCCATGGCAGCCGGGTGGAAAGCAAAGCTAATAGTAGAAACATGGTCGCAGGGTGGGCCAATTACGACTAGTATCGGTCTCTCTGTTGCAAGCCACCATGGCAGCGGCAGGCATATTTGCATAGTCCCTGATGAAGAGTCGAGGGTGGAGTACGCAGCAGCCATGGAAAAGGCCGGTATGTCGTCCCATATCATCGTTGGCGAGGCGGAGAAGGTGGTGGAAAGTTTAGTTGGCATTGATTTTTTGGTAGTGGATTGCAGGCGGAACAACTTCGCGAGAATCCTTCGGGCGGCGAAACTTGGCCAGAAGGGTGCTGTGCTCATATGCAAGAATGCAAATTCAAGAGCGGCGTCGGATTTTAGGTGGCGAAGTGTGGTAGGTGGTGAGTCAAGGATTGTGCGGTCAATATTTTTGCCGGTGGGGAAGGGGCTGGATATTGCACATGTGGGGGCGAGAGGTGGAGGCGCTGCCTCCGGAAAGGCTGAGAAACGGTGGATCAAACGTATTGATCGAGAGTCTGGCGAAGAGTTTGTCATCCGGAGGTGAATTCTAAAGAGAGAGAGATGGGCTGCGTGCAAAGCGACAACATTTTTTTGTTCCTTTTCTTGGTTTTGTTTTGTGTATAGAATTAAGAAAAATTGAAAGAACGTGTAGATTAAGATAAGACTACCTTCAGTTGTATGCTAACATCTTCATATAAGTTCGACCTTGTTAGAAACGTTGCACAACTTGGTAACAGAAATCATGAGAATCAAAGGAATGATGAGGAGATCAAAAGATCTTGAAGTGATAAATACGAAATTGTTAATTTGTTATTTGATAGTCGTTATTTATTTTTTGGATAATCACTAGCTACAATCATACTGGAGAGTTGTTGAACTTATTTAATTATTAAAGGTTGAGCCCCAACTTTAAGGGCCCCTACCTCCTCGTCCCTAGAGCTTTGTGAGGTAGGTAAATCGCGGAATGTGTCACAACAGGCCAAAACTTATTTTATTATTATAATATGTACTAGGTGCTTATGGTCTATGGTCATCATTCAATAAAGTTATAGACAATTTCTTATTAATTTTTTTGCATCTTTTTCATATTTTCTTTTGGCCTGACGTGTTGTTTGCAGGTACTACTAAATTGTTTCATCGACTAACTGCCTATTTTGAGCCCCATTTTTCTTTTTCTTTTTTTTAATTAAGAATGTATTTTGAAATAGTAATTGATGGAGAATGTGGAGTTTAAAAAAAGGAAATTTTTTGAGTTTTTTTGTAATATTATTTTATTGAAAAATATGTAATTAAAAAAAGAGTAAAAACATGTATTTTAAAAATAATGGAGATCAAACAAGGAGTAAGAATGCTTAACTTGAAACAAGGTTGCCAATTTTTTGTTTGGACAAGGCAGGCGTCGACCGAGCACAACCGACATGCTCTAGCTCTACAAATTAATTGGACAATAAAGCTACTTGTACAAAGTTGGGTTACAAAAGTCCAATTACAAAATGTGTTGGCAAAATTCAAACTATTGATTTGAAATGATTTAAAAATCTATTTTTAAAATAATTGATGTGAATATTATTTTATCGAATAACTTTGTAATCCACCTTTATAAGTGTGATATAACTCATTAATACAATGGTAGTCTGCGGAGAGCCAGGACCAACCAGTATGAGTCAGGCTAAGCCCGGCCTGTCTAATACTTTGTTCAAATTGGCTACCTCTGGTTGTGGCCCACGCCAGACATGTCTCGTTTATAAATTGACAAAACTACCCAATTCTTTCAAGTTGTGTGGCTACGAATCCCGACATTCAAAAAGAAGAACTCTTCCACGATTGAAACCGTCAATGCTAAAGTCAAAATCACACATAACTTTCGGTTGTTTGAACTCAATTTTGATAGAGAAAATGATTTTATGAATAATGATTTTTGAAAAATGTTTTGACTAAAAATTATAGATTTTTTTTCTGTTTATGTATAATATTATTTTATTAAAATATGTGTGAATAAAAATAACTTCTGAAAAAATTAATTTAAAAAAAAAATAAAAATGACACAATTTTGCAATCCATATTGTCACCATTGATCACGTAGGAATCTACATTCTTAAATTTAAATAGGTTGATGTCCGAAAAGCTCACTTTCGGAAATAAGAATCCATAACCATACTCACAGCTGAATCTCGAGCTGCAGGGCAATTCCGGAAGTCTGTTTGACCTATATTTTGTTTCAAATGTCAATCCATTCAAGAAAAAGGTTCCAACGGTTCGTCCCAGGCCAGGATGACCCAACCATTTTTACGCCTCTCCGTCTTGAATGATTTCTTTGTTATTTCACTCATTACATACTAATTCATGTATCATTGTCAATCAATCAGCATTCGACAGAATAGCAATTCATAACAGAACAGTAATGTTGCTTTTCACTAAAGCATTTCTACTATTTCATAACAGAATTCTTAAAAAGACCCTCAGGGCAGTGAAACTCGGGCCAATCGTGCATCATATTTCAAGAACTTAAGAGAGCATCTCCTGAGCATCCTAACGCCTCATTGCTGGATCTACACCATTGGCACCAGGAAATCTTGATCTACCCCGTGAACGAGATGGACCCACCCCATGTCCCATGTTTGGATTTGTACTCCCTATGTAGTTTGAGCTTTGAGTCGAAGGAAGTGCCAAACCTCCCCTGTTTGGCCCATGCTGACCACTGCTTCCAGATCCTAAGGATTTCACACAGAGGAAAAGGTTACTTTCACTCAGCCCTTAGTTGATAAGTCGAAAAAGGTCTCTAATATCATTTTTGGGCCGGGAATTAGTTGCGAAGAACTGAGCACTAAAAGCAGGGGCCAAAACCCAGTCAAGATATTGTTCTAACGATCTCCCCCTCTCAATGGAAATTTAATATCAAGCAGTTACCAACAATGACGTACACTGTTTTATGTCGTAGAAAATTTAATAACAAAAATAAGTGATTAGATACAAAAGGTAAATGTTTAATTAGGATATATTTCACTGGCATCCAAGTGGATAAAGATATCAATATTTGACATCTTACCATCTTGCAGTCCAAAAGAGAGTAAATTAGAGAGACATATCCATTACAGTGCTAATAGTTTATTGAAGAAAAAATGTTAATCTAACAATTACAAACAGGGGCAGATATCTGAATTTTTTCTGGTGAAAACAAATCTAATAACAGGGTCATGTAATTATAAAATTTAGAAGCCAAAAGAAGAGATTTAAATAGGATAAATTTCAATATCATACAAGTGTATGAAAATATCTATATTCTGCTGTCCTACCAGTCCCAGTAGGTCCAAACAAGATAATAAAAGGGACCTACTCTACTACAACATATCGTAGGGACAAGGTATTTGTCATTTACCACCAACCGCACAACTGCTCGCGGTATCAATGACTCTCACATCACCATTTTATTTTAGTACACATGAAATCCTCTTTCCTTTTGCTTATTATTTTATCCGCCTAATTAATTAAAATACTGATATTTTTTTCAATGGGTAGTTACACAATATGCATCCTTCAGTACCAGAAAACAGATTAAAAATATATAATTAAGAGGAAACCAACAAAATCTTTAAGCAGAGAGCATCAATAAAATAATATTGAAATTTCATAACAGCATCAACACGGGACCAATCCCGTAAAACAACATATCCAATCATCAAGGAGTTACAAATTACTTACCTATAACACCTTGCATATTGAATCCTTCACTCAAGCCAGGATGTTGTCTAGCTTTTCCATTCCAGGCTTCCTCAAAACTGACAAGTTCATCTAAAGGAGGGAACAAAATTATTTGACAGTGAACTGACAATTACACAAAAACACCACTTAATAGTAATATGCTACCTTCATTAAGATTATGAAGGGCTTGCATTGCATCCACCCTACCATCTGAGTTCAGTTTTCGTGACACAGAACGACCCTACAGCACAATTAAAATATTTAACTCAGGCATTCTAGATGAAAATATATGAATTCATAATTCAGATAAGTAAGCGGAAGAATGAGTCATGAAGAACATCAAAAGACCAGAGATAACACCTTCTCATGTATCCCCCTTGACAGCATATGAGATGCTTGACGTGTAGATGAATTGGCTTCTTTGCGCTCTTCCATTGTTAACTGTAGACCACCAAATATATAAACGGAGCAGAATTAAACAACCAAGCCCAATAGAAAATCTAAAAAGAGAATCAATTTAACTTGAATTCTGCTTACTCCATCACTACCCGTCCTCCTGGTTCTAGATGAAGTGCGATATGCACCATTTGCACCACCGTAAGTAGCAGTGGAGCTATGGAAAGTGAAGCTGCTTGTTTGGGGCCGTGGCCTTACATTTTGCATCTGGTAAAAATCATTTCTAGGAGTCATTTGCTTACTTTTTCTCTCTGCAACGACCATACATAGACCCATTTCAATCAAAACATTCTGAATATCAATGTAATGTTACCAAATCCCCTCAAAGCTAAATAAACACAACTCACCAGTAACTTCATCATCTGGATCCTCAACAAAAGGCTCTGTGCTAGACCTCCCATGCTTTCTTGGATTATCCTTCTTGTCCTTTCCACTTTCTTTTCCTTCGTTTTCATCATCAGAGTTCAACTCTTCAATAATTGGTCCCCTAGATCTATTAGGGTGTGGGGACTGATGTTCAAGAAATCCAGGAGCATGCGAATCCATAAATGGACTACCAGTGGAACCGAATAAGCTTGACTCAAACATGTTGCCAAATGGGCGTGTGAAGAAGGGGTCATCAAATGGATCTTTCCCACTGAAAAAGCTTGACATTAGGCTTCTTTGACCTCCAAAGCCACCGAAATTACCAAAACCAAAGAAAGGATCCCTGCCTCCATCCATTCTCTAGTTGCTAATTGCCTGAAAATTAACATGGCAACTTACAAATATCAAAGAACAAGTCTAGGAAAACCTGTCGCGAAATTAGGAAAATGCCAGTTCTTACAACAACAATTTTATCACAATACACATTTTCTGAAATTCATTTTCATCAAAATCCTAACAAACCTACACACATCCCATGCACATCACTAACTGTACCTTCGAATAGAAAATAAAGGATGAATATTGGAACTCCATAAAGTCTTTTGAACTGCAAGATACTAAGCTCAGTAAAAAAGAGTATTTTCCATGAAATCTAGCTTTCACTACTCCTGCTATGGATGTGGGAGCTCAATTCCATTCCCGTGGGCTTTTGAGAAGAGCCAAGTATGTTTACATGCAACCCTAGGAAATATTAGCCTACAAAATGCAGCACACAGTAGCATAGCATCTCGAGTTCATTTTACTAATAGTCTGTGCCATCATTTTGTCTCTTGTCAAAGTCCATTACTAATACCGCTGCACAAATTTTTAGCTCTTGAAATACGTCAAGAGTAATTAGACAATATGATTAATCTGCACTTTCATTTCCAGAATGTTGAACATCATGGTTCCTCAATCCTCAAGGATGATCAGAAGATGAATGATAATTATAGAAAGCCAGCTACAGCCAGACACAACTAGAGCATCAAAAGAGAAAGAACAAACTTCAGAAACAAAAGAATACCAGTTAATGAAATTATTTCAATGCCCAAGAAGGGAACAAAAGAAACGTCTACACTAATTCAGGCCATTCAACCAAATATGCATATTTAGACTACATTTTTATTTAGTTCTTCATCTTTCTACAGAACAATCTAGTCCCCATCTCCGAAATCAAGCCATGTCATCTTTCCATTTAAAAACACAAATATATCTTGCAGCATCAAACTCCTAAAATTTCTTCGCACAATTAAAATATTTAACTCAGGCATTCTAGATGAAAATATATGAATTCATAATTCAGATAAGTAAGTGGAAGAATGAGTCATGAAGAACATCAAAAGACCAGAGATAACACCTTCTCATGTATCCCCCTTGACAGCATATGAGATGCTTGACGTGTAGATGAATTGGCTTCTTTGCGCTCTTCCATTGTTAACTGTAGACCACCAAATATATAAACGGAGCAGAATTAAACAACCAAGCCCAATAGAAAATCTAAAAAGAGAATCAATTTAACTTGAATTCTGCTTACTCCATCACTACCCGTCCTCCTGGTTCTAGATGAAGTGCGATATGCACCATTTGCACCACCGTAAGTAGCAGTGGAGCTATGGAAAGTGAAGCTGCTTGTTTGGGGCCGTGGCCTTACATTTTGCATCTGGTAAAAATCATTTCTAGGAGTCATTTGCTTACTTTTTCTCTCTGCAACGACCATACATAGACCCATTTCAATCAAAACATTCTGAATATCAATGTAATGTTACCAAATCCCCTCAAAGCTAAATAAACACAACTCACCAGTAACTTCATCATCTGGATCCTCAACAAAAGGCTCTGTGCTAGACCTCCCATGCTTTCTTGGATTATCCTTCTTGTCCTTTCCACTTTCTTTTCCTTCGTTTTCATCATCAGAGTTCAACTCTTCAATAATTGGTCCCCTAGATCTATTAGGGTGTGGGGACTGATGTTCAAGAAATCCAGGAGCATGCGAATCCATAAATGGACTACCAGTGGAACCGAATAAGCTTGACTCAAACATGTTGCCAAATGGGCGTGTGAAGAAGGGGTCATCAAATGGATCTTTCCCACTGAAAAAGCTTGACATTAGGCTTCTTTGACCTCCAAAGCCACCGAAATTACCAAAACCAAAGAAAGGATCCCTGCCTCCATCCATTCTCTAGTTGCTAATTGCCTGAAAATTAACATGGCAACTTACAAATATCAAAGAACAAGTCTAGGAAAACCTGTCGCGAAATTAGGAAAATGCCAGCTCTTACAACAACAATTTTATCACAATACACATTTTCTGAAATTCATTTTCATCAAAATCCTAACAAACCTACACACATCCCATGCACATCACTAACTGTACCTTCGAATAGAAAATAAAGGATGAATATTGGAACTCCATAAAGTCTTTTGAACTGCAAGATACTAAGCTCAGTAAAAAAGAGTATTTTCCATGAAATCTAGCTTTCACTACTCCTGCTATGGATGTGGGAGCTCAATGCCATTCCCGTGGGCTTTTGAGAAGAGCCAAGTATGTTTACATGCAACCCTAGGAAATATTAGCCTACAAAATGCAGCACACAGTAGCATAGCATCTCGAGTTCATTTTACTAATAGTCTGTGCCATCATTTTGTCTCTTGTCAAAGTGCATTACTAATACCGCTGCACAAATTTTTAGCTCTTGAAATACGTCAAGAGTATTTAGATAATATGATTAATCTGCACTTTCATTTCCAGAATGTCAAACATCATGGTTCCTCAATCCTCAAGGATGATCAGAAGATGAATGATAATTATAGAAAGCCAGCTACAGCCAGACACAACTAGAGCATCAAAAGAGAAAGAACAAACTTCAGAAACAAAAGAATACCAGTTAATGAAATTATTTCAATGCCCAAGAAGGGAACAAAAGAAACGTCTACACTAATTCAGGCCATTCAACCAAATATGCATATTTAGACTACATTTTTATTTAGTTCTTCATCTTTCTACAGAACAATCTAGTCCCCATCTCCGAAATCAAGCCATTTCATCTTTCCATTTAAAAACACAAATATATCTTGCAGCATCAAACTCCTAAAATTTCTTCAGGTCAATAAAGAAAAGATAATCCAAATAGTTGAAATTATTTCTTTAACCCTTAATTTCTAAGACTCGGTGTTCCATGTTTCACCACGATCAACTACTGAATGAAGATGTTAAGTTGCCCTACGAAACTCAGGCCAAACACAGATTTTCAAAACCCTCACAAGTTTTAAGCAACATTATCACAAATTACAAAAATCAAAAACTACAAAATCCATTAAAACATAAACATCCGAAATATCACCCCAATCGATCAGTTATAATCATGAATTAATAAAAAAAAAAAAAAAAAAAAAAAAAAAAAAAAAAAAAAAAAGAAGGAAACCCTTTAAATATCTGACGATCGATCCCTCAATTAAGGAAACCAAACTCAACCGATCATTAAAAACTGTGAAGTAAAATAAAAAAGATCATGACTGGAGAAATTAACAACAACTTCCCACAAATTACATGAACCAGACCTCCACTATATATAAACACAACTTACTTCTCGTATTATCGCCCAAAAAAAAAAAAAAAACAAAAAATAGCGACGAAAAAGAACAGTCACCTGCGAGACGACAAGATTGCTTAAAGAATATAAAGCATAAAATGAATTGCAGATCGATGAAAATTAATAAAATATATAGTGAATTAAATTGCAGATGAATGTTTTTAAGCGCAAAATAAATAAAATAAAAATTGACCGACTTTTATTTGTAGGGCTCTAACAAGCAACCTGGCGGGGTGGACGCGTTTTTATGAGACGCGTGTCCAATTTCGTTTTGATCAATCTTTTGCTGTTTGTACTCTAATGGGCCACTTAATGGACCTTGTTACAATGCCGGGCCCTATCTTTTTTAAGGAAAATATGTTTCAAATAGTGATTTTTTTGTAAAGCAAGTAAAAGTATTATGGAATGCATTCTCGAGCCCTTAATTGAGCTTTATTCTTGTAAAAAAAAAAAAAAAAAAGTATTTTGAATAGTGTATTGATAAAAAATATATATTTAAAAATTAAAAAAAAGTCATGAACTTACATGTATTATTATTTTATTGAAAAATGTGATTGAAGCGCGGTTAAATTACTGTTGAAGAGTGTATTTTAATGAAAAAATGGAGCTCAAATAAGGGCTGAATGTGAAATTCTAATTAACTTATAATTAGAATAAATAATACTAAAATGCATAAATGAGATTAATATAATTAAATAAATGTGAATGTTAAATGTTAATTAATTGAGAATTAATAATAAAAAATTTATACATTAATGGAAGCACGCATATGAAATGAATATGTCAAATCTACATGTACATTGATGAGAACCAAGATGAAAAACAAAAAATAAGATATTATTAAAATAATTGAATTATGGTAGGGATATAATCGTCAAAAAAATTATTCTCAATTGATGTGTATTTAATATGTTATAGATAGATGTATGATTAAAAAATAATAAGTTTTTTAGATTTACATGTAAAATTATTTTATAAAATATGTGATTGAAAATAAATTCGAGAAAAAAGAATAGTTTTGAAAAAGAATAGTGCTCAAACAAGGGTTAAGAAATTTCTCTTAATAATCTTGATAATGTTTAGAGAATTCAAGAGTCAACTCATCACAAGCTCGTAAGTTTTATGGTGATGGTAAAAAGATGGAAAAACCTCAATTAATATGGATTGAGGGGCGAGGACGAGGAATGCGGTCTCCATCCGGAACCACCCTGAATAATTTTTAAAACTTTATACAAAATGATTAATATTTTCATCATATTTAAAACAAAATTTAATGACAATAAACGATGAGTTAGCTAGCAATTGGAGGCTCCTCACCTTGGTTGATCCCTGAATAAGCAGGGATGGGACGGAGAAATCTTAGTGGGGCTCGCTTCAATCTTATGTTGCCACTCATTTATAAAAACTATTAACGCATTAGTCTATGACTTGCACATAGGAGAGTTAAGATGAAATTTACATAAGCATCTTTTGTTTCCTTTGTATTTGTACTACATGACAATGAGGTTGTGTGTTGGACACTAAAATTGTTAACAACATAAACATTTTCTGAATGCTCCATGCAAGAAAGTTAGACACATTACCTCTAACCTGTTCTACTCATAGTTTAGGTAGGTGGATCGTCCTAATCGTTTATGGCCAACCAATTCTCAAATGTATGGTCAGTTGTATAAATTTGATTACTTTTAACCCATGTTTGATGGCCTTCATTGAGGGAGGGGGGGGGGGGGGGTGTT